CCCCCCCCCCCCGCCACTCTCCATCTCTTAAAAGTTGGGTTTTGAGGGGATTGCCCCGTGAGATGTAACTGCAGTGATGTAACTACATGCCAGATATATATCTCCCAATTACCTTTTTTGGACTACAGTTGTCAAAATTCTGGCAGATTCTGGGAGTTGTAATCTGAAGGGGTGGCTTTTCCAAGTTCTCTTCCTGGATATGCACTGTATCTTAAGAGAGGTGAACTCTTTGACACCATCCAAGATGGCTTACTTCTCCTTTGTGAGCCAGTTTTCCAAGAAGACCATGATGCCCAACCATCTCCTTGCCCTTTTTAAAAAAAAAAAAAAAGTTTGCCTGGATATTGCAGGAACCCAGTCTTGTAATACCGTAACACACTTTTCCATTTGGAGAGATGCATACAGTAAGAGGATTTAGGTGAATACTGCTTGAAGCCTTTAGCCAGTTCCAGATAGAAAATGACAGCACTTACCGCTTGTATGAAGCCTTTTATCCATCCCAGCATTCATTCTAAAAAAAAAGTCAAGCCTATCCATGCTGAAAGATATTCTGGATGAACCCGACCTCTTCATTCCTTCTGAAAAGAAATTTGGCTGCTCGTCAGTCTTGCCAACAGACTAAGAGTTTTCCCTCTATTCCCCGTTGCCAGTAGCAAAACGGACTTCTCCCCACCACCCATCATCCACCCTCACCTCATCCTCTTTCTGTATTTCTTTCTTAACTACCAGAGTGCCTTCCAGCTTTTACTTTCACAGCAGCCACTTTAGCTGCAGAAACATTTTAATTAGCACCTTTGTATGGTAACTCAATATAATGGCTGGATTTGAATATTGGTAGAAGTCAATAGAATTATATGTTGAAGAAGAATCTCTAGATCTGTATAATTGGCTATATAATATGCAATGAAGTATTTGTCTTGACTTAAATGAATATACAGCATTTGTGCCTGTTCTGATTTATCTGTGTGTGAATGTGTGTGTGTGTGAGAGAGAGAGAGAGAGAGAGAGAGAGAGAATTTGCGTTGAGAGTCTGTTTCTTGGTTTTATGTATCTATAAATTAACAGTTTCTTACTTGTATGTTTGATTTTTAAGCCTGGGAGAATAATGTAATGAACATTTTTAAAATGTAGTTTATACAGAAATGTCAGCCCAAACCATTGTTATAATTAAAATGTATTTTTGTTTACATAATAAATTGCAATAAACAAGAGGGTTCTCATTTATACCAAATAATTATTTGGTTTTTTGTTTTCTAAACTGGAAAAGCACAGAGAAATCTCTGGGACCACCACAGCATTTGCTGTGAAATTTGCTTTCTGCTGCCTTTTCTTTTAAACATATATGAAAGGCTTCCATTCTCTAAGCTGCAAAAAAAAACTTTTCAAAATAATTTCTAATCTGCAGAGAGGGCATTAAAGAATATTTGGTTATTGCTAACAAAGGACACTGCCTTGAACTATGTTTGGGTAAGCAGAAGTATACCATCTTTTGAAAAAGTAATTAAAATAAACATGTAGATAAGGGGGCAGGCATCTAGATGGTAACGTTTTAATTCCAGTTCCATGGGTCTTCCTTTTATACATTTTCTATGTGCTCCCAGCCTGCCTCATTTCTCCAGTACTCCCATTTGTGGCAGGCTTTTTGAAATTTGTATGAAGGACATGTGATGAACTGCTTGTCTCCAAAAGCATGCATGTGGATTTGTTTTGATCTGTAGAGTTAAAAGTTGTAAAGTTTAGAACTCTACACAGAAAATGAGACCATTTTCCCCTTGGGGTTGGATTTGGGAGTCTGTCCTACAGTATGACTCAAAGTACATATTGTAGCGATACCTTTATTAGGCCAGCCAAAAGGTGTAAAATTACTAATGCTAGCTTTCAAGGCCCACTGGCCTTTTCATCATACAAAGATGATTTTAAAAATATCATGCCAAGTAAAAATGTGACAGTGTTAGAGCCACAGTTCTGCATCCAGCTTGAGGTGTTATTCAGGGAGGATCGGCGCAGACAATTTTCCTTCTCCATTTGTAGCCACAAAGTGCCTTCTTCAGAAATCTGGTAATCAAGAAATGAGAGTATAAAATAACTGAGGAGAGGAAGGTGTATAATCACTGTAGGAACAATATGGCATTTGAATCTCTCACTAGATCATGTCGTCACCAAACTGGCATTTTAGCATAAAATTAAGTTGTCCCTTTCATAGTTCATTGGTAAAGAAGCAATTAAGGGTTATTCCCCACAAACTGTGTATTTATTTATCCACATTCTGCAATCAGACTAGTGCTAAGAACAAAACTGTTTCCTTAGTTAGCTCAGAGAGCCTTCCCCATCCTGGAACATTTTGGATGTGTTGGACTACAGGTCCCATAATCCCTCAGCAGTCCTGGGGACTAGAACAAAAATTTCTCTCCAAACTGATGCATCTTTGTCACAGTCCAGTGGCACAACCTAGAAGAGCACAATGGTGTCTTACCCAAAGTCAAGGTTTCTCTCTACAACCAGGCCTGGGAAATCTGCTCAAAATCTTCTGCCAAATCAGAGGAAACACAGGGGATGAACCTGTTTCTTATAAAGCTGCTTTGTTTTTATTTCAGGATCCCATGGTGATCTTTGTGTATTTCAGGGTCCCATGGATCATTGACAGCATACATTTTTTGCAAATTTGGGACAAGGTTTTATTTACTGTGGGTAGTTGCTGTTTGGTATTGGTCCTTAGTATCGATCCTTGGTATCGGCTGGGATTTGGTTCCAGGACCCCCACGGATACCAGAATCCATGGAGGCTCAAGTCCCATTATAGACAACAGCATAGTAAAATGTCCATTATAGACAATGGCAAAATCAAGATTTGCTTTTTGGAATGTACATATATACTCTTTATATTAAGAATCCAAGGATAAGGAGGGCCAACTGTAGTAATTGTTAATGGTTCAGGTATCATTATTGTTGTTGATTTAAATCTTGAATTAAGTCTTGGGAGGGCTGTGCAGCAACAAAAGCTACCGGTATTTAAAGGGGGTCCCTGGTAAACAGCCAGTGTGGCAGAGTGGTTTGAGCATTGGACTATGACTCTGAAAACCAGGGTTCGAACCTCCACTTGGCCATGTAAACCTATTGGGCAAGTCGCACTCTGAGCCTTGAACAATGGCAAAGGCAAACCCCCTCTGAAGAAACTTGTAAAGAAAACTCCATGATAGGATCACCTTTGGGTCATCGTAAGTCAGAAGCAACTTAAAGGCACAACAAAAAAAAGTGGTGAGGAAAAGGTTAAGAACCACTGCCTTAGTAGATGGTGGGGGTCCCTCCACCATTTGAGATATGGTGCAGAGATTCTGAGGTGAAAATTGAACAGTTACCCCTTAAGAGAGGCAATAGGGAAGAAGAAATAATAGATGAATCAGCCTAATCTCACTTTTACTGATATCAATGGGATTTTTTTTTACTAGTAATGCAAAACTTCACATTGTTAAACAGGTGATTCACTTATACTGAATTAATTCACAGAAAGTAAATAAACTTCTCTGTCCCAGGTTCCAGGCTTCCCATAGACGGAAGAGTGCAAGCATTAGGTTCCCCGTTATTTCCAATTTCTTGTTTTTAAGTTTCCATTATCTTAAGTATAGCCCAGCCCAGAAAAGATAGTTTGTGGGAAACAATGAAATGGCATAGCTTGGAAAAGTTACCCTTTTGAACTACAGCTCACAGAATCTTCAAGCTAGTGTAACCAGGTTGACAAGAAATTTGGGGAAATACTGTTTAAAAAAACAAACACGATTTTTCTCCAGGAAACTGGGCAGTGTTTGTGAGCTAATATAGAAGGAAAGTACCCTGCATTTAGGCATCATTTCCCAACCAAGAAGCTCAATGTACTTAAGACCATTGTTAGCTTGTTAATTGCTGAACCTGATTTTTAAAACAAATAAAACCCTGATTTATAGCAGCTAGATGACCAAGACTGACTGCTTTGCATGAATCATCTTGTGACTTGTGTACCTACCATATGACATACTAAATGCCATTCATTTAAATTTGGGAGGGGGGGTCCTCTTTTTAGAGAGTCCAGAGCATGAATGCATACTTGAGATAAGGCATCAACAATCTTTTCCAGTGAATGGAACAATACTTTTAATAACATGAAACAGGAAGTACTCTGCAAAAATGGTTCAAAGTGAACCCAGTTTAGCATCCATTGTAAAAATCATAGCAACTAGCCATCATTATGTTGTCCATTAAAAATTGCAGCTTGGTCCCCTGGTGAACTGAAGTACGCAATCTGATTCCTGTTTTACATGATACTGGGGCATCAGGAAGCAAGCCTCTGAATCAACAAACCTTGGTTTAAGACCTTCCTGTGTTTAACCCATTTTCATCAACATAAATTCAAATTTTATTATGATGGCTCTGTTATTTACAATTGTCTTCACCATTTTCTACAACTCTCTCACAATATCTTTTTTTTAAAAAAAAATAATATCCCGGAAACTCTTTATGTAATGGATGGTCAGTGCATTTTATTTTTAATCAGCACAGTACAAAAATAAATAAAAATAAAGGGGGAGGGTTAAGTTACAGGCACACACAGCTCTGTGACAGTCTTATATTTATAAACCTCACATACTTACAAACGCACTATAATACACATACATACAAAAATGAGACCATTTATAAATTAATTTAAGTAATAATAAGCAATAATCATAATACCAATTTTGGTCAACAAATATCTACATAAGAGATTGCACACTAAAAAAAATCCAAAAAACCTTAACATACACAGACATGTAGAATTTAGCAGGTTTTCTATTTTCTCTTCTCCCCAGCCCTCCCCAATATACAGTTATGAAGAATTTCAAGTGAAAAAAATGGCACACTTTTTTCTTTCTATTTTTCCCCTTTTGACTTTTTTTTTAAACAATGGTTTAGAACAGAGCTAAACTCTTAACAACTGTGTACAGTTAAGATCAGAAAAGATCTAGAAGGTCTGAGATGAAATATATTGAATCTGAAGGAGCAAGGGCCTGGGTGACATGGACGGGCAGGAAGGGAAATGTGCTTGAGAATTGTGCATGGTGATTTTAACTGTAATTTTATGTTTACAATCAGCTGTTCTAAGTTTTGCCTGTTGTCAGAAGACACAATGCTGCTTTTGGCATGCACAACATCACTGTAAAGCAATGATGAAAGAACAGAAGAAAGATCTCCCTCCCATCCCACCCCACCCTGTAGTTAGTTTAGATTTTGTTCTAAAAGTATTTGTTTCATATAGCAGCAGGTAAAAATCCCATTCATTGCTCTTGTGTGTACTCAAGTATATCAGTTGATCCTTTTTGTTTCCCTATTATAAAACAATAAATACATAGGCTCCAGGACTTTGAAGAGAACAAGACAGTTTGTCACACCAATGCTCACAACCAAATCACATTTGCTTCCCATGCAGTACAATCCTAGGCAGGCTTGTGCAGAAGAAGTCAATCCTCTGTGTCTTCTCTAGGCCTTACTTCCCGCGAAACCTGCATCGGATTACAGCCTTAAACGCTTCAGAAGCATATGAGTAAAATTTTAAACTCTTTCTGTTTTTTAATATTTTTTAAAAAGTGCATGGGGAAGGCAAAGAGAGGTTTTGTTTATTTCTTTCTTTATTTATAAAGGTAAGAAGGGAATGACTTGTCCAGGCGCAGACCTGAATTGAGGCTGTGCCTTTAAGATGTCCCAGGAGCCAGCAAGGATGCTAAGCAAGGAATACTGAAGTCTGTCGTGGAAAGACTGAAATGTGCCATCCATTTTGGAGCAGCAAATGATCATGCAATGCAGATCTATATACCCCCATTTCCCCCGTCAAGTCTTGAGACCCCAAAGAAACTCGCCCTTGGAATACCAAGGTTCTCCCTCCTTCTATGAAACCAAAATGTACACTTAACAGTCAGTGTCTCCCATTTTAATGGCTCAGATTTTGGCCTAGCTTTGGAGGTGATAGCAGGACCTGCTGAGCAAACCCAGCATCAGTTTAATATTCACCAGCTCTCAGTTCCTGTCTAATTCCATCCTCGCAGCTTAGACCTTTTTCATATTTCACAGCTTTTTTTTCTGTTCCTCATACATTTTTAATAGTGCTCTGCTGTTTCTGAAGTTAATTGCAAGCTACCCTATTTAACATTAAATACAACACAGCCTTTCCCCCTGTCCTCCTTTCAGAATGCCAGCATCCATAACATCAGGAGTGGAAGCGCCTCCCAGAATATTACTAACTTCGCCTTCTGTCTGATAAAGAAATCTTCATGCCAGAAGGCTGTTGCCTTTGTCCTCTTTCATGTGTCACCCATAAGAACATTAAAACTGAGAAGATGGCCTCCATCCCAAATGAGGTTCATTATCTTCAGCAGAATGTTATTGCCGTGGACTATTTGCATTCAATTCACATTATCATTAACTGAGCAAAATTCAGTGTATCTTTTCATGTCCCTCACCCCACCCCAGCTTTCTATATATACATCTACCATCCCTGAAGGTAATGAGCAGAAAGATTTTAATCTCTTCCTTTTAAAGAAATGAAAAGCTAAGCAAAGTAACTGAAATTTACGAAGCATCAGATTATTTCCAATGTTTAGGCGCTAAGGATGGAAGAGTTAATGAAATTGTTAAGTGCTGGCAAATGGTTTGTGGGGGTCTTAATAGGGAAAGAAAGTTTATCGTACAAAACAGTTTGGTGTCTAAATATCTGCAAGATACATCTACAGAATATACAAGATATAAAATCTATGTACCTTTTGTACATACTGCAGATTAGTATTTCAGCATATTTTTTAGTCACTATCTGTTTTCAGAAATGTTGGGTAATGTGCCATGGATCTTGTTTTTATTATTGTTGTTATCCAATGCATTCTCATTGTCTTCTTCCCTAGGCCTCTCCCCCAGCATCCCAGATACAGTATTAAGTTGGCAAGTGGGCTAATGGCCCACTTTAGGGCAGGGACAGGAGGCACCCATAATACCAGCTGTGTATGCAGTTCGGCACCCATCCTATGTTTGAGAACCAATTTGTACTAGTGAGAATGTAGCTGATGTCATTCTCAAATTTTCCAATAAGTAGATACTTAGTAAGGGACAATTATTCCAGCTGTTCAACTGGCCACAATACAGCTGTGGCCACCCTGCTCTAAAACAGCCAAATTGTGGTATGCAATAAAATGAAATAAATCCCCAAATAACTTGCCAGTAAAAATTAATTCCAGCTGGAGGCCATCTTCAATATCGTCCCGTACTCTATTTTGACAGGGTAAGGACCTAGTAGGGACCTTTCAGAGATTGGACCTCAACGCCCATGAAACCTAACCAGCATAGCCAGTGGTGAGGTATGATGGGAGTTAGAGTCCACCAACACCCAGTGGCTCACAGGTTGTCAACAGGCTACTTATATTTCACTTGGGTGCTTTAACAGGAAAAGATCCCAAGGTTCACCTTTACCTTTGAACGCTGATGTTTTGAGAGAGCCCATGGATCCCAAGATGCTGGCCCTCAGTGAAAGGAGTGGTAGAGGTGATAATATACAGAGAGGGGCATGGGTGAGCCTTTGCCCACTTCTCCTGATTTTCAAGGCAACCACCTTTTCATGCAAGAAAGAGTCCGTTTTAGATGCCAATACTGTGTTGGTGTCATTTTGCTCAAGTTGGTGTGCAAAGTAAGTACATTTAAAGGAAAGGAAATCTCACTCTTTTATCCATTTTCTGGAATGCCAGGGGCTGAAGCATCCATTGGATCTGGTCCCTCTTTCTTCCCAAGGAGCATACACTGTATTTGCGTTCTCTGCCACAATCCACCACAAGGAATTAAGAAACACAAGATGGTTCTCAGAGCCAGTTTGCAGATCTTTTAGGCAAAACGGGTGCTGCAGTCATGCATTGCTGTGCTTGGTCCTCTGCTCCTGCTCGCCCTCGTGCTTTTTGCCCTAAGAGGAGAGGAAGTCCTATCCGTCATATGCAATGAAGCAGAAACCTAAAGAGGCCAAGCTCTCATCACCTCCATTTCATTTGACTTCACTTCAGAGAAGCCAAGCCAACCATATGTGGTGGAGAACACTGGCTTGGTGTCCTCCTTCAGGCCTGTCCAA